AAAAAAAAAAGAGCATGGAAGATTAGCTCTTCAGAACTTCTCGTGATATGTATAAAAATAGCTACAAGGAGAAGATGCATTTTCTTCTCTCTCTCTCTCTTTTATCAACTCAAAATGCTTATAGCAGTAGAAGATATAAACAAAACATGAATGTCAAACGTTAAAACAAACCTGGATTCCAAGAACTTTATTAGCATTGCCGAGCTCAATTAAGAGCTTCCGCAGCTTGTCTTCAACAGTAGAAAGGACTGGAGTATCATGGATCCAGTTTGCATTAAATGCTGGCCCTATATCCACATTGCTGGAACAAATATACAAGGGTAAATGAGGCGAGTAGTTTCTGGATCTATATGAGATTTTAAAAACACTATTTACCATTGTAAAACAGATTCGGCAAATGGTCTCATGATATCCAAATAGACTATGCGTACATCCAATGTAGTTGAAAGCCCTGTTTTTCATATCAATTGTTAAAGTTCATGAATTTATACATCAATAGGAAACACTAATTTATAAATTTTTTTATTGGATACCTCTGAGGAGATTAATGACTCTGCTGAATATAATGATATCGCCTGGGAAAGCATCAACCTAACAAAGATGTTTTTAGGTATTCAGTTTTCATGATATTAGAAACAATGATCCAGTCGGTGGGGGATATTGTGTACTTACAGGATTAAAACGTTTTACTTCTTTCTCATTGAGCTTCATCTTCTCCTGAAGGACCTTCATATTTTTGCTCCTTTGCTCAGCAAAAGCTTTCACGTTTTGCTTTTGTAGATAGGACAGTCAGCTTAAATATATAGAAGCATGATTCACATTTAAAGAGGGAAAAAAAAAAATGCCTGCTTACTTGAGCTTCATTTGCTGGGGTTGAATTACGGAAGAACACATTCGATATTTCCATCACTTGCTCAGGAATGTCTAACCGCAGCTTAAGTCCCATTTCTGCAAAAGAAGATAGCAACGCCACATGGTCGCCCTGCAAGAAGATTTTCCATTAACATGGGTAAACGACTTGAGTCGGTCAAAACGACTAGGAACAAGCCATAATTATTGATAGGTTCCACTGGTCTATGGGGAAGAGAGGAGGGGGTAACTAATTTACATGCACAGACTCAAGATGCATCAGCATAAGCCTTGGACCGAGAGTGGGCTCAAACATATATATTGAAATCATTTTTGTTAAGAAGTCCGAAGTTAGGTCAGTATATATTAGAGCTGAAAGATTGTGGATCCTACACAATATGCAGTAGGCAGATAGAAGATATTGGTCCCACGACTAAACACAGATTCTATATGTTCTCATAGGCTTTTGAGGATATAACATGAAAACTAAATATGACCCAAAAGTGTAGTTAAAGCACCAAGGTGAACTATAGTTTATTGAATCTCAGACTGGATGTACTGGATGCAGTTCATCTAGCCTTCTGGGAGGGAGGAATTTATATAAGAAATATTTGGAATTGATGTGAATGCCCATTGCCCATTTGTGAAAAGCAGTAGTTTGCGAGTGCACACTTCACATAATACATATATAAATCTTCAGATGAAAGCGGCTGATAGGAATAAGAACTAATGAGTGGAGATTAAAATCCACATATTAGGAATCCTCTTTTTAAATGAATCCCTCGAATGAATATTACAAAACTGGAGTTGTAGACTGAAACAGCTAGGTGAATCAAAGCATATACTACCTTCATGTTAGTACTTTAATTTCCTACGAAAATTTTAGTATCCTTACAATAAACAGATACAAGTGGAGGTGTACAAACCTCAGCAGATGCCAGAAACATTTTTGCTAAAGCTTGTTTCATAGAAGATGACAGCCCCTTTGTGAGCCCAAAATCTAGCAAAATTGGACGATGTGGAGGAGCCTTGCTCACAAGGAAATTTCCTACATTAATATCACCAGACATCCAGGACACAATATAAATTGTTTCATATAAACATAAGCAGACATTCCCTTGTGGTGTATGGCCTTATTCAGTGAAAAGATAGAAATCAAACTGAAAACAACACACATATGGAAAGAAAAAAAATACCAGGGTGAGGGTCACCGTTGAAGAACCCATCAACATAAATTTGGTGTGCATATGCACGTGTAATTTCCTCAACAAGTTTTTGTTTGTCTACACCTAAAGCTTGCAGAGCTTCAGAGTCATTTAATCGTACGCCGTCCATATATTCCAAAATGAGTACTCTCTCTGTTGACTGCACACCAATATAGATTGTGAAAAGCATGTAATTAACCATTAGGAGGAAAGGAATTCATTTCACATTTGGTGAAATTTAATTTGAAAGGTCAGTTCCATCTGGAAAATATCGTCAGCACAAGTAGATTTTAACAAATATAACAAATAGCAGGGAAGGCATTATATTATATTCTTCAAAAAAGTTCGTGGGTATCCCACTTCAAAAAAGTTCTCAATGTCATTAAATATATACAACTTTCTATCTGCTACAGGTCATTCAAATTGATTTGAGTTCACCGCTAACAATTTCGAATATAGAGACCAACCACTACTGTATGTCCCTTCTGACAATCTCTTTCTGCATGTTCACACGAATGTAAGCGGAGGCATAAACTAACATCACAATGAAAAGAATAGGACACTTTGATTGCTGTTTATTCGGCATGGATCTTTTCTTATCCGGTAATGTAGGTAACAGTGATTAAAATAGCGCGAGGCGAGCCGAGGCAACAAGGCTCCGATTTGCCATGGCGTGAGGCGTGCGGCGAGGCGCCCGCCTTATGAAAGCGAGGCGAGCCATTACAGAAAAAATAAAATATATGTTCATGTGACATTTTACCAAATTCTAACACAATTATATATATAAAAATAAATTATAATAGCTAATAAACATGCAACAAAACACCACACATTAAAATAAAAACAACATTAAACAAATTAGAAAAAAGATATAGCATTAACCCACACAATTCCAATTAAAATAAGCATCAACCTACCCCACAATCCCACATTATGCCAAATTCCCAATTACAATAATAATGTAATGTCTACTGAGCATTAAAAAAGAAGTCAATGCTCTACATTCATAAATAAACAAAATAAATAATGAAAATAGAAAAAAAAAAACATGTTAAGCCCAGTCCCCCCCCCTCCCCCAAGTTCGCTTTTCATCCCGGTCGGCTGCTGTCAGCACCCCCGGCCGCCGGCGACGGAAGTTTAGTCGGAGCCGGCGACTATTGGTGAAGAATGACTGAAGCAAGAAAGGAAAAAAGAAAGAGAAGAAGAAAAGGAAAAATTGGAGCATGTACCGCTCGCCTTCGCCGGTTAGCTGCCGGAATCTGGTCGCCGTCGCCGGTGGAACAAAGGACACATGGTAATTTTGTAGTTTGGTAAGTAATTTGTGTTAGTTGATAAGTTTCAATCTCCCGTAAATGAAACCCTAGGTATAAAAATACCTAAATTGCCTTGTCTCGCCTTACCTTCATAAGGCGTCGCCTCGCGCTACACTGCGCTACATCCGAGGCGACGCCATGGCGTCGCCTTTCACAAGGTCGCCTCGCCTCAAGGGTATGAGGCGTTGAAGCCTCGCCTCGCCTCGCCTCGCGCCATGGCGACACCATGGCGCGCTATTTTAATCACTGGTAGGTAATATAAGCAGTAAAGCCATGCTGTGATGGTGCAGTATGCTAGTTGATAGTTGCACGCTTACGGACAGAAAGTGAGGTATGGTCTTAGAAAAATCATAAATATATTTATAAATCAATGGGAAGGTATTCCACCATCCGGATATTGCACGTAACAGGGAAACAATACTTAATTCATTTACACAGACCAACTGTTTTAACTGGAAGGATTAGTAAAGGATAATACCATAATAATTTCTGGAATTAAGACGTCCACACGATTTAGGTTGTTACCATCACTATTACTTTTGCAGCAAAGGTTCCTAGAAACTTTCCGAGTATTTTCTACAGAAACCAAAAACAGCATCTCAGAGAGTCGAAGGGTGCAGAACCACATTACAAACTAATTTGATGAATCATCAAAAGCATACCAGCCTCATGGTTGAAGTCAAGTTCCTTGGGCGCTTCTTTGCACCATTCATCTATCATGGGATTGAAGTTATATTGTGGTTCCGCCCAAGCAATCCAATCAACTATTGACTTAGCATTTTTCAAATCCTGTACACAAAATTACAGAACAATATGCACCCAAGTAAAAATAAAATCTGAAAACCTCAACAAAAGGAAGAACAAAACCAACCTCCAATATGATTTCCTTGATGCCGTCGTGTTGAACTTTAACAACAACTTTCTGCCCATCACTCAGAGTCGCTCGATGAACTTGAGCAATCTGAATAAAATTGAAGAGAGAAAAATTGGAGTCATCTGGGAAAGTTCTCTGCTTACACAATAATAAACGGACTTGGACAGAACTCATCCCCAAAGCTAGCTTAAAGGGAGACGATGTCCAACCCACACTTATACAATATAACAATCCAGTAACTAATTGATGTGGGACAAACATAACTTCTAGCACCCGCCCTCACGCACAGCATGCCAAACCAAATGGGTCGGGTCCAAAACCCAACATCGTATCAAAACAAACAAACAAACCCGAGTGTTCTGATACCATGATAAATGAACTTGGATAGAACTCATCCCCAAAAGCGAGCTCAAGGGGAGAGGGTGCCCATCCATATGAATATACAATAACAACCTAGTAACTAATCGATGTGGGACAAACATAACTTGTAACAAATTATAACTTTGTGTTCTAATAAATGAGCTTGAGCAGAACTCATCCCCAAAAGATAGCTCAAAGTGAGTGCCCAACCCACACTTATATACAATAACAACCCAGTAACAAATCGATGTAGGACAAACATATCGTCTAACACCCGCCCTCACACGCAGCGTGCCAAACAAAATGCGCTGGGTCCAAAACCCACCATCCATCCAAAACATACAAAACCTGGGTGCTCTAATACCATGACAAATGGGCTTGGATAGAGCTCATCCCAAAAGCTAGCTCAAAGGGGGAGCGTGCCCAACCCACACTTTTACACAATAACAGTCCAATAACAAATCGATGTGGTACAAACATTTCTTCTAACATTTTCAATAAAGAATAACATGAAAACAATGGCTGAATGATCAGGGTCCAACACCTAGGAACAGTTACATGTCTTTTTTATATGTTCTTTATCGAAAAACAATCCGAATAGTTTCAAACAATCATGACTGTCCTCGACTTTAAGTAGATACCTCCACTATGGAGTACTGTACAAATTAATTTAATCTATCACATCCCTTCTTTTAGAGTTATGCAACCCTAGGAAGTAAATTGCAAAAAACAAGTAAACATATATTTCTGTATGAATATCAAAACAATAAACAACATTATACATCTGCTCAAGATCTTTATTCCATCCCCAATACATGCATTAAGGTTCAGTTAATATTCAAAGTTTCTCCTTCTTCTCTATTCAGTAACTTTAGTATCAGAGTCTTACCGATGCTGTAGCCAGTGGAATATTATCAAAAGTTAAGAAGAGATCTTCCATGGATTTCCCCAATTCTCTGTTTATAGTCTGGCAAACCTGAGCAGTAAAACTCATTATACGCTGATAAAAAATTGTAAATCCCATAAACACACAGAAACAAACGAATATGTAAAATCATAAAACGTTTGTTTGTTTATATGAACGAGATAATATTTTTTTAGGATCCCACCTCATTGGTTTTGGCATGTCCTTACACTCAAATTGATTCTAAAAACCGTACAACCGCTGTTGATCCTAATTCCTACCCAGTTAAATATACACATGTGCTGGAAGCCTGCAATCACTCTCCAGATAATATTCTCCATTCTTAACATATCCTGAAATGATGATACTTAGTCATATTTGACTTAACTCTCATGGCCAACAACAAACATCTATTACACCACAGAAACATAGCTACACATTGTTACAAAATGAGGTATGGTTCGAATTCTGTTATAGGGACATTAATGCACAAAATCAAAAAGAATGCCAAGGGTAATTTTTTAATTGCATTACAATACTCATTGAAGCAATCGGCTCCAGGAGTAAATAGATTCAAAATGGACCCAGGTAGATAAAAATTCGGATTGTCCTACAACATGTAAGTTTAGAACATTTGAGGTGGTATCGTTCCCATGTTATGATGTTACCCATTAAATGACTGTGGTTCATTAATCATCAATCGAAGTCGATTATGCGGATCTATATCATAACAATTTGCTATAAATCATAAGAAACTGGAGGCCAAGAAATAATCCTTTTCATTTTTGCATTTCTTTTACTAACTTTTCATTGACACAGAAGAAAAAGATAGTGCCTATATGATTCAATCTTGACGTAATCATACAAATCCAATGTTAAATTCATAAAATGTGTTTCATGTGAAGGTACCTCTTTTAGGGGGCGTGCAGGAAGCGAGTCTTGGAGCTGCCTTAGAAGGCGTATATAGGCTGGGGGAAGCACATCGGCACGTGTGGATAGATACTGTCCTAATTTGACCCATAACCCTTCTAACTCCACTATCAAATTGAGGACACGCTTAGCATTACATTCATGAGCTTTCTCCCAAAGATCAGCCCTCTTTGACTTCTTTGTCCATTTCTCTCTCATTTGCAGGGCCTGTGATATAGCATCATAAAAACAAGGGAGGAATTGCCACATGAAATGAAGATGAAAAGTAGCATGGACCTAATCACTCAGTCAATCATCAAACAACAATCATGAAGAAGCAAACTAACCTTGTAATCCAAGTAGATTACAATAGCCAACGTGAAAACTTTCACCCGCCGCTTGTAGATGCTGCCCCATCCCATCGGAAACAACTTTCTCACGCAGCGAGTGCTTAGAATATACTGCAATCACATATCAACATTGAATTTAACAGACTACAATATAGAGCCACGAGGATGAAGATAAACCAGGAAGAACATATTATGGGCTAGTATTTTTTTAAAAGAAATATTGTAGCATATATCATCAAAAAACTTCTAAAATACTGTTAGTGATATCAGTAAAATCATTCTCAGTCAGCATCGCCAATATTTTCTACCGATTACTGAACGAAACAAAATAAATACACCATTAACATAGAAAAGGACATTTTTTTCTTCCTTAATGCTGTCCATTGAATTCATACAAGTACAACTACATTAGAATACAGTTTCACCTGTGCTCAAGACCATGCCTGTTCACAGCTAATTAGCATCATGTGGCAATTAAAAAAACAAACATCATCACATCAAACATAGCCATCAAACCTCGAGCTATTATTATCTCATAACTTTTCTATTTTGTTCATCTAAATGAGATGTGGCAACACAGATGATCAAGCATATACAACAAATTTGATCGCCATCAAGGGATCAAATTGACGAATTCAATCCAACAGAAATGATAATCCCACAACACAGAGACCCATGCACATTCATATTCATGATCAAGCAAATAAACTCACCCGGATGATTGAGCTGAAAAGGACCCCGAGTGGACGGCAGGAGAAGATTTGAGCAACAGGCGGTGGCATAAAGGCGACGGCCCTTTGAAATGATCGGTGGTCCGTTATACGACGTCGTCGCCAGGGATTCTAGAGAAGTTAGACTATTCTTATGGCCGAAATTTCTTCGGAAATTTCTTCTGATAGTGATCGGTTGACGACACCAGTGCTGGTGAAAACATTGGTTTCCTTTCGACTCCTTCCTTTATTTTATTTTATTTTATTTTTTTCCTCGTACGTCCAAAATATTTTTTACACTTTTTTATATACAGATTCCATCCTGGTGCGGGCCATCCGGGCCGGGCCTGAAAACACTTACCCCTACCCCGACCCGAATGTGGGTATTCATCGGCATGGAACTCACCGACCCGGCAATTTTGGACCGGTTCAACTTGGTTCCGAGTCAAGTCGACTGAGTTTGGACACGATTAAACCCGTTTTGATCTGGGCCGGTTTTTATTTAAAAAATTTGAGAAAGGGTGTGGGGAGGGGGAGATTTGAAAAAATTAGATCTGAATTTGAACTTAGTTGACATATTATAAGTTGAAATATCAATTACGTTGAAAATTTTGGATTACAAAATGATATTTTAACTTGTAATATGTCAATTATGTTGATTGCGTATCCCTTACCTTGAGAGTCAAAGTCTTCGTAGTTCTCTTATTATACTTATTGATGGAGACGAGACCCGCGATAGCGATTTTGTATAAATTTGATCGTCTTCATATCTAGTTTGTTTATTTTCCATTACTAGAAGTCTTTCTTTTAGATGGTCTTATTATTTGTTGGGAATTTTAATAATTATTGTTTGTATTTTATTAGTAGTTAGGGCATGTTAGACTCTTGCTTTATGTATTCTCTTCATGCGCAAAAGATGGCAGTTTTTATCGATCAAAATTAAGAAATATGTTCAAGCACTTGTGCGTGTTCTTCCCATTCTTACATACGCTCTACATCACTTACCTTGATAAAAGTAGTCCTCTTAGTCGTATGTGTGTCGTAGTCCTCTTCATTTTCGGCGGTTCTACTAATACTAGTGGTACTTTATTAAACTATGTGGTGTCCCACATTGCAAATAATTTATTACAATTATTCACCAACTTAAAAAAATTTCGACATGCTTGAGGCTTATGAAACATACATGAATTAAAAAACACACATGCGGCCACAATACTTGGATTTAAGAACACCTGCAAATATATATTTACCAGTTTTGTATGTCGTTGACCGGTTTAAACTCAGTTTTGATCTATATATATTTACCTTTAACGATAGAAAAAAAAAAAAGAACACCTGCAAATAACTTATTTGCAATTCTAATCTACTATAGGTAGTGTTTATTGTGTTTTTGTGCTTATTTTCGTGTGTTTTATGTGTATTAGTTTAGTGTTTTTGGGTTCGTTTTAGTGTCGACCAGTTCATTTTATCGTGTTTCGTGTATTTTTATTCTTGTATCATGTTTTTGTAGTTCGGTGTGTTTTTCTTGTCTTTTTGGTGTTGTTTAGGTCCACATTATTCGATCTTGGGAAGACGAGCCATTTCTGAGACATTTTCGAGTCGTTCGAACCATATTCGAGCCACACGGGCCATTTCCGAGCCGTTCTGGGCATATTATTAATTGCATGGTGATATCAATTTGTGCATCTCCAGACGAGGAGAACGAGATTTGGAAAGCATGGGTCAAAGTTTCAAGTCAATCCGATAAGTGTGCGCGAAGTTATGGCGAATCAAGCATCAAGAGGTCATGGGACCATCTTCAGCCCGCGAAAATGGATTTGCGCCCGCGAAAAGGTGCTAACTCGCGAGTTTCTCAACCAGTGCCCTGCTGCCCGCGAGTTTGAAGATTCGCGCCCGCGAAATTGCTCTATCCCACGAGTTTCGCCCATGCGCACATCCCAGCACCCGCGAGTTTCCAAGCTCGCGCCCGCGGAACCGGAGTCGCCCGCGAGTTCCATGCCCATGTGCCTATCCTTTACACTCGCGAGGGAGCCTTTTGCCTGCGAAAATCCGGTCCTTGCTCGCGAAAACCACCTATCTTGCGAGTTTTCTTCATTTAATGTGTGTATTTTAGTGTATGTTTTTGGTATAACTATAAATAGACATCTTGCTTTGTAATTTTGAAGAATTCCTCATTTTGCTAAATTTTTCTTTTAAGTTTTTTGCTCTCTTCTCTCTCTAGTTTTTTTCTCTCTCTAAGGGGCTCCAAGACCCCATTTTTAATTGTAATATTTCTCCATCAAGATTACAACTTTTTGGCTTATTTCTTCTCGTGGATGCACTAGAGACTTGGAGACTTCGCTTAAGGTTCATGATTTCGTAAGTCTTGCTCGTCTTTACTTATTGAATTTATTCTAGGGTTAAGATTGCCACATCCATGAGTTGATTATGCTACCATCTTCGTATGCTAGGGATTATGTGATATTGTTACTGATTGCGTGAGCGAGAATTGATTGAGAGGTTAATTGATTACGAGTGACTTTCGATTGGTTCCATATTCCCGAACCTATGAGTGTCTTCTTTCCATCTCGGGTCTATTAATATACTTATGCACATAAGTCTTAATTCAAATAGTGCAAAAAGACGAATTAAGGTTGAACTTTGATACCAATTGTTGGGATCTATTAAGAACGTCGTCAACATGTTCATCGAATTCTAATAAATTAAATCCTAACATAGCGAATCTATAGTTAGGATCAGGAAGCATTTCTAGATGTCGAAGTACTCTAAACAATCTATTACATGCTATATTATTTATTAAATGTCTCTTTCTTGTCGAATTAATTTTAATTTTACACATGTCAAATTAAACCATCGGTAACATTATATATTGGAGACACAATTTAATAATCTCCTTCATCCATGTCGTGCAAAAACAACTTAAAAGAAAGAGATGATCGAATGAGGGTATAAACCTCACAATCAAAATGAGAGTATTACAAGCAATATGAAGCATATGGAGTAAAAATAATGGTGATAGGAGCCCTATTTTATTAATTGTCTTAAATTAAGGACATATTGGTAATTCACATATTTAATCTTATATGTTATCGAGAAAAATAAATGTGTAATATAAAAAAATAACATAATATAATCTCAATAGTACAATTTTGCCTGAATAACAATTATCTCATCTCATCCACCCTCAATAATAAATGAGGCCATAGACTTAAACTTAAATAAAAGAAAGGCCTATAAAATAGTCGCAATAAGCTCTGAAGTGGAGACTGTTGGTGTGAATATTAGCGTCGTTAATTACAAAGGAGGACACGTGGAGGCCTAATGAACCTCAACTACCCCCAGCAGTTTCCCATCTCCTCCTCACCTAACATTCAATAACTCAGACAAATTTGATTTTGTGGGTAAAAGCAGTGACCTGAAAATTGGGAAGACTCAATTCATCTAATTCTAGTCGTCGAACAAATAATAACAATAAATAAAGCTGATTTTCTGAGGCACCATAAATCATATGTAATTACGAGTTTGTAGAGCCTTCTCAATGTTTATATATAAACGTTCTCAATGTTTATATAATGTACATTTCGTTTAAAATTGTATATATATATAAAATATTTTAAATAAAAAATTGTAAAGTATCTAAATATAAAGCACGACGATTTTGGACAAATTGAACTCAGATTTATTTAAATAAATAGCAAACTCGTCAGCTAAATTATTAGATCATTAATGAACTTGAACCTTTATGAACAAGTATGGTGTGGCCAATTATTATTATTATTTTTACCCCGGCTACAAATTATATATGCAGTTGTTATTCGAACCGAGTTTTCTTCTAACAACGTTCTATTAGACTTGTAAAAGTTCGAGCTTGGCTTGCTTGTATATTTGAATGAGCAAAACTCGACTAACTAATTGAGCTTGTCTATCGTACAAGTCGATTCGAACGTGTTCGCGAATAATTTGGTTAGAGTTTTGAGTTTTGTTGTAGGTTTTAAGGTTTGTTAATTATACAAACTGATTACTTAATAAAATTATAATTTTATTAATTTATATTAGAATACTAGTTATAGTTTTTAAAACTAATAATTACTCAACAAAACCATTTTATTGCATATATTACAACTAATTTGTTTGCTGAAAATACTAAAGTTAGATGCATTATACTTTTAATAATTAGTATTATTATTATAATTTTAATACAGTTACATTTAACTATTATAGATAATAAATTATTTATAAGTAACATATTTTTAATAACTACTAAATCAAAATTGATCCAAATTAACCTAAATAAAAAGAATAATTCAATTTCATTTTTAAATATTTAAACATATTTAAAGTTTCAATTATTAAAATAATTAAAAACAATCTAAAAAAAAAAAATCTAAATCACCAGCAGTCGGCCTGCGCCGATGCATGCCGCCTTGGGTGCGACAGAACTTTGATGCCAGTCGCACCCTGAATACTGGTTGGCTGGCCGGCGAGCTAAATTCTTAAAAAAAATAAAATTATATACTAACAAAGAAAGCATACTGGAGAAATCATGAGACCTTTGTCTCGGCCGTGGTGATGATTTGCCAATTTTTTGATTTTTTTTTTTTGTGAGAATCTGGCTGGAGGAGGTTGGGAGAGATTTCAAACTTTTTGAAAGAAATAAAATTATGAGAGAGACGAATGGGACGATAGATAGCAAAAAGGCACATTAAACACCCTACACTATTGTTGAGAGACTCACCCACTACTGTCAGGTTTCCGACCTGGGTCGACCAACGGATTAATCGGAGCATAGCCCCATATAACGTGGCTGGCTACAAACAAAAAAAAAAAAATTATATCCCACACCATTTAAATGTGCTAAAAAATGGAATACGGATGCCCTCGTATACAAGGTACATACTAGTTAAAAATAAGATTAAATTGATGTGATTAGTTCAAACTTATTAATTTATTGTCACTTATTGTAGCCATAATGAAAACAAGGGAAAACATTTTTCAACCTCCCAAACTATGTTGATTTTTAGAGTTTGCCTTATGAATTTTTTTTCTTGACAATTTGCGTCCCATAGTAATCGAAACTAATAATTTGTCTCCTCGATTAAAAATCCTAATATGACACAATAATTGTTTTAACTCAATTAACGATATATTTTAAATTGATTTTTAAAATTAATTTAGGGCTTTTAAAGCCCATGGCGAGGCGAATAAAACTAGGCATGGTTTGTCGATTTCTAAAAATTGATACCTCAACTTAATAATAATAACTGGAGCTGAGCAAAGTAGCTATGCTTGAAGAATGGGCGGTCAATAAATCACCGCTCGCTATCTGGCTGGAAAAGGTGGTCCGGAAGAATTAAAGGTGGGGTAAAAGAAAAGCAACGACTGGAGTGGGAGAGTCAGCGTCGAAAAGAAGTTTCCTCACTTCTTTCTCTAGTTCAAAACCGTGCATGAGACTCTCATCGACCTTTACGATATTTATTATATTTCGTACGTTTTGGATATAGCACGCCCAAACTTCCTCTCCCTTTGGTCGAGCTCAATTACATCGACCCTCGATCTTCAAAGAAAACTGACTCCTCCTGGCACTTTGATATGCTCGTCGTTGGTCCTTAGGTCACTGTCACAGTCACGATCACTTTAGTATTTCCATTGTAATGGGAGATTTGGATTATGATATTAAGGAACAAAGTCTTTCAATCGACGAAGATAGTAGGAGCACATATGTATAGAAAAAAATTCAATCGAAGTTTTTTTTTATGATCAAAGTATCTGATTTTTTATTAAAATGTGTCATTTGAAAGTTTGAAAGATGAGTTTTCTAACGAAGTAATTCTTATATAAATCCAACGGTTGGATTTCGATTAGTAGCCTAAAAAAAGCTAACAATCGATCAGTAGTTTAACTACTGATCTATCCGACCGTTGGATTTTTATAAGATTTACACATTAAGAAATTAGTCTGACAAGCTTTCAAATGACACCTCCCGATCTAAAATCAGATATCTTGATTATCAGAAAATTTGAATTGAATTTTTTTCTATACACACGTGCTTCTACTATCTTCGTCGATCGATTATAGAGATATCAATTTTCAGAAATTGACAAATTATACCTCATTTTGTCTCTGTCGTCATAGGCTATAAAATATCTAAAGTAATTTTATAGATCAATTTAAAATTTATCATTAATTGAGTTAAAAACTTTTTGTGCCATATTAGGTTTTCAATCGAGGAAGCAAATTGTTAGTTTCGATTGAGAGGCAATTTGTTAAGAAAAAAAAGTTCGTAAGACAAACTCTAAAATTTGACATAGTTTGGCAGGTTACAAAAAGAGTAATGCTATAAGTACATAATATTGTACATAGCGGTGTATATATCACTCACATTGATTGGGACTCACCAAAAATTAAAAATCAAATCGACCCCACTCTATGTAAGTGTTATGTACACCTCTATATACTTATTATGTAGTTATATCATTTTAAAAAAAAAAATTACCCAAAAAAAAAAAGTCAAATTAATTAATACTTTTTTTTTTTTCGAAACAATAGGAAAATTAATTAATACTTCATTGAAGGGTATTTTAGTCCTGTGCGGGACGCGCAAGCGCTGTGAATATTCAGTTCACAAGAAAGAGATCATAAAAACTCTCGAGCCCGGCGTGGGTTTCTCAAGAAAACACGTACAACTGTCAATTAAGTAAATCCAAACACTATACCAAGTGCTAAACTGGGAAAAATTGGATTGCCGGCACGGCGGAGCCTCCGTTAGTCGCTTTTGATGGCGGCGCTGAAACTCTTTGTGTTCACCGTACTCCTTTCCCTAGTTCTCGCCCACATCGGAGTCGGCGCTGATGCCTCAATCTCAGACGTCGATGAAGAAGTCGAAGTCCCCAGATCGGAGGGTCCGGATTCATCCATCCTGGAGCAGTTAAATTCCAAGATCCATAGCCTCGGTTAGTTGGAGTTTAATAGTAAAGCTTACGGTCTTCATGACTTGAGGGAAAATGTTTCCCTGATTAATTCTTAGTTTTATTGTTTTAGTGTGAGTTGGTATTGAGATGTAGATGGGATGCTTTTTTCTGTGCGCCTTATGAGTTATGCCGGAAAGAGCATATTTTGAACTCTAATTGCTACATAGAAAATGATTAGCAAACGTTTGTGTAATGAAGATGGAGTATAGTCGAAGAATTTAAGGAATCGAAATTAAGAAGTTGAGCATGTTGCTGTACTATGATGATAGTAGGTTCATTTGATTATAATATAACACATTACTAGTGAGTGGAATTTGCTTTTATTTAGTTATTTATTTTTATTTTTATTTTGGGTGTGTAGTTGTACTTGACATCCTCCTTATTTTGGATTCTACTGGGCACGAAGTCAGTTCTTGTAATTATATCTTTGGTGAAAGAAGTGAATTTAAACCTGAATTGTTGTTACAGTTGATTGTTTTCATTCGTGTTTTTCATCTGTTTTCTATTTTTTTTTTTAATAAATATTTGTAGAATCACATGTCGAGAAAAAAAATCAAGAAATAAAAGACAAAGATGAAGTGATTGCTGCTAAAGAGAGGATAATCAAAGAAAAATCAGATAGCATTGCAACATTGGAGAATGAAATCTCATCTCTGCAAGTGAGTGATTGGGCTCTTGAATTGATAAGATATTGTTGCACATTTCGTGTAAATAGCATTAACTAATAGATGCCATTATGTCATGTGTGTTTGCAAATCTTGTTGTTTATTTCTAGAAAAAGGGCAAATTAGATGCTGCTGAACAGGTGGGAAAGGCACATTCAAGAGCCAGCGAATTGGAAAAAGAAGTGGAGATACTGAGAAAAGATATTGATTTAAAAATTAAGGAAAAAGAGCTTTTGCAGGCCCGAATAACAGAAGTTGAAACAAAGGGTTCTGAACTGAATTCTAAATTCGACCGTGTAAGTCACTTTTTTTGTGCAAAATTACTTCTTCTTTTGTGAAGTTGTAACTACGATGTAGACTTTCACGTTTTTTACTTTATATAGTTGAACTTCAGACTCAGTAATGTCATATACAGTTGATGATCTCTGAATTTTTCTATGAGTATTTTTTATTATCGTATGATCAACGAGATGCTTGTATATATGGGCTACGCAGTTTTTTTTAGTCTGGATAGACATAGTATGCAGCATCCTTGTATTTATTTTTTTCTCTGACTTCGAGAACTTAAAACAAGGCGTGGTGCTTGTTTCCAAATGGAAAACTTATTTGCTTATCCGTTTAACTGGCCTGATTTGATTATATTGAAAAACTTCATCTAGTCTAAACAACGTTCTTTCCCAGTGTTGGTTTTATTTGATTACGACTTGATTGTTATAGTTCCTTGTTTTTGTTATACAGCTTCAAAAGATCATTGATGATCAGAAAACTAAGATACGAAAGACTGAACGTGCTCTTCAAATTGCCGAGGTATTCTATCAAAGATTCAAAATTTTGTTACATTGATTTTTTAATGGTTGCCATGATGGTTTAATTATCTTTTCATGTACAAATCCTATTTAGGAAGAAATGATGAGGGCAAAGTTTGAAGCAACATCCAAGATCAAGGAGTTGATGGAGGTATAGTTACCTTTTGCTTCTTTTTACTTTCATCAGCTCATGCTGCGAATGTTAATGATGTGATGCAAGTATCATTGTAATTTATATTGTCTTAATCATTGTAATTTATATTGTCTGTGAGTCATCTTTGTGTTAGAAGGCTTTAGTCTAACTGACGTATTGGTATAACTTCGGGATTCCTGCATTGGATGGAAAGACTTATTAGGAATAATCATTGTGTCATAATTAACGTGCATAGTTGATAGATGTAAGACAAATATAATTAATAACTAATGAGTTTCACTGTCGAAGTACCATAAAGAAATTAACAAACAACCTTCATATACAAGAGCATATTCTTAATTCAAAAATTAACACGTCAAATAGCTGCTCTTGCTTTGGTTATGTAGCTTCCTTGGTCTCTTTGAGTCCAAATGTCATGAAAATACTTGCCATGCCGATCAAAGTTGCCCCTTGGTATCTTAGGATGCTACCAGATTTATATTCCATTTACTATTTGTGTTTCAAAGTTCGATAGAGAATTTCACAATTCGCACAACCCTGGCAAAAGGTAAATGATATATTCTGTTACTAATATTCTCCAGAATTTGTTCACCGTGTGCTGTTCAATAACTTTTGATGGACATCATTGAGAAGTAACTAATTTATTTATCTTTCATTTTTGTGCTATGTATGATCAGATTCGTGGTGCTTGGCTTCCGGCGTGGCTGGCATTTCATCTCAATAACTATCAGGTATGATATATACTTAATTTCCTATGCTAATTATTTTTTGCAGGCTTCAGTGTATTTATTAGGTCGTATTTGTATTCTCAGTCGCTTCTGGAGAAGAACTGGAAAGTGCATGGAAAACCTGCTCTGGAGATGTTGATGCAGAAGGCAAGTGTTTGCGGTGAATGTGCTGCACTGTCACAGCACATGGTTCTCTATAAACTTACGATTTACTGATCTCCATCTACTCTTTCCCCCCTGTATTAGGCTGTTGAAAAGAAGGCCCAAGCTGAACAGTGGGCTGCACCACATGTAGAAACTATTAAAACTGTAAGTCAGCTATACACAAGCTAGCTGATAGCCTTTTGTTGTTGGTGATTGATGCAAGTCAATTGTGAATATGTATTAAATACAATGTCCTCGATCCTGTCTTGGTTATCCGATACTGAAGCTTTGGTTTATATACACTGAAGATATCCTTCTGTGTATTAAATTTCTTTATTTTTATTTATTCTTTTTCCTTTTTTTTTTTTTTTTTTTT